AGGGAGGGGCCAAGCCAGGGAGGGGCCAAGCCAGGGAGGGGCCAAGCCAGGGAGGGGCCAAGCCAGGGAGGGGCCAAGCCAGGGAGGGGCCAAGGCTGCGGTTGGTTCCAAGCCTGCTTGGTCCCAAGCTTGCTTGGTCCAAGACTGGGTCCAAGACTGCGGGTCGTAGGATCCACCGGGGCCGGTTATAAGTCGTAGGTAGCAGTCATAGATCGTTCGAAGCTTGAGGAAGTAAATGGCGGGAGTCCCATGGCGCTGTGACCGGCAGGGACACCCAGACAGAATCCAGCCCGCTGCATCACTTCCGCCGGGCCGCAGCACGGCACCCCTTGGCACACGACCAGCGAGACGTTGCACTGCGGGGCCAGGGGCGTGTTGCCCTCCGACGTGTCACTGGCCGTCGCGACGCTCTCTGAAGAAGGCGGCTTGGTCGTCACTGAGACACTGCTTTCCGTTCTGTAGACAGGTGATTCAGCAGGGGAAGGAGTGCCAGGTAGGGGTGCCCATTTTCGTTCGAACGCATATTCTGTTGAGTGCCCATGGAGGAGTGCCGTGTGGAAGCGGGAGTGCCGAGTGGAGAGGACATACTTGTTGGCGATCGTAGTAGGGTTCGGAGGGTACATGGTATGAGAGAAGTGGCAGTTTTCATTCCGGCATGTACCTTGTCTAAAACGTAAAGGGTTGGTGGTGGCTCATGGCAGGTGCGAGACACCCTTGGTGGCAGGTGTACTAATTAGTGGGTGCGAGACACCCTCACCAGGGTGTCGGAATAGTGAGTCTGAGTGCGTGTCGCAGTCTCACTTAAAATGTTTGCAAACACGGGCCTTGGGGGGGAGGACAGGAACGCCGGGTCTGCTGATGGCGGGCGTCCTTAGCTGCTCTTGCGAATGCGCGAATATGCAGTCATTGCCCCGCCAGCAGGCTCTCTGCAGTTAATAATCTGATCTACGGCCAGCGTGACGGGGGGGCCGGTACGGCCAGGGTGAGGGGGGGGCGGGGGTACCTCTCTGTAGTATTTGCAGAGCTTGGTTCGGTAGAGAGCGTCGTTGTGGTATTTCTCCGCCATAAATTTTCCTGCTATGAAATGGTGATTGTCAACCCCACGACCCTGGTGCAAGCGACGATGGATTTGCGGTTCCTTATCATGGACGCACCCTCCGCAGAGTCCATTCATCACTACCTGGCGGTGATGCGTGCCCATGGCGTGACGCATCTCGCTCGTATTTGTGAGCTCACTTACCCGGAAGAAGAAGTTATTAATGCTGGAATCAAATGCTACTCACTCGCCTATCCAGATGGAGATAGTCCCCCGCAACATGTCATTGACCGGTGGCTAGATATTGTAGAAGAAGCAAGACAACAGGGAGGAACAATCGCCGTACATTGCGTGGCCGGATTGGGGAGGGCACCCGTCTTGGCCGCTGTCGCAATGATTGAGAAAGCCGGCTACGATACTCTGGATGCCGTCGACTATATTAGGTACGTCTCACCCCCCCATATCCGGCCGCACCCTCCGTACGCCGCCGCTGTCACCCTCCGTACGCCGCCACCCCCGACCCCGCCACCCCCCGTGGTCTCCCTCCGTACGTCCTCGCGTACTTTGACCGCTCAGGACCGCCACCCTCCTGTCCTTCCCATCGTCCCACTCTCCTCAGGTCTCTACGAAAGGGTGCGATAAATCGGAAGCAACTAGAGTATCTTTCTAATTATAAAAGAAGGTCCAAAAATAAAAAGGCGAAGTGCGGCTGTTTTGGCTTTTGAATAAAACTTTTGTTGCTGTTAATGTACATGAATGATAATCCTTGGGCCACCAACGGGCCAGCCGCCGGTAAGAACCCGAAAATTAGAAACAGGTGAATTTCTCCAAATTTACACCACCGCACACACGCACACCCCTAGACGCTGGGGCGCACGTAGAGATGCTGGGGCGCACGTAGAGATGCTGGGGCGCACCCAAGGGTGGGTGTCCAGCATGAAGCTTGAGTTTGGGGGGTTTGGGAATATGCTTTTTAGGTTGGGTAGATGCCCCATTCCCGCGTGAAGGTGACACGTATGAGAGCATTCTATATGAGCTGATATCCGCAGTCTATGACGCTGTCTACGCCCTGGTAGAGGAAGATGCGAGACTTGGACCGCCCGAAAAAAATCCAGCGAGTATCCTGGACTCGCGTGAACCATTAGTGCCGGAATCCCCTGGGCCGCACATCGGACCCCCGGGCAAGGACACGTCTAGCCTGGTGGGTTCCAGCCTGGTGGGCTCCAGCCTGGTGGGTTCCAGCCTGGTGGGCTCCAGCCAGGTGGGACCGTCGAACTTGGAAGACCGGTCCAGTTTGGGTGGTGCGGCTGCGGGGGTCGTGGCTGGATTAGGTATTGACAATATGCCGGGTGTCGAGCCCATGCGGTCAGAGCCCATGCGGTCAGAGCCCATACGGTCGGAGGCGTTGGAACCAGCCGCGCGGTCGCGTGGTGGTCGGCACCGGGTGAGTGGGGTGTATGAGTACCGGACGTGGAACCCGTTGCGGCGCGTGTTTCCAGCATTTGAGCAGAACCGGTTGTGCGGGAAATTGGCTTTGATGTCGCCGATCCCGAATGCAGCTGTGACGGCGGCTTTGGAGCGGAAGGTCGGTGGCTCGACTCCAGGCGGTGGCGATCCGTTGGTGGCGCGCGCGTGTGCGATGGCGAGTACGTGGTTACGAGAAAGTTACGGAGAAACCGAGGGTCCGGGTGAAGCGCAGTGCAACTGCTGCAGCCGGACGCTTAAGCCGTACAGTTTTCGAGTACGTTGCGCCGATTGCGTGGACTACGACCAATGCGAACGTTGCTTTGCGGAGGGGCTCGAGAGTGAAGGGCATTCGAAACGTCATCGTTATATCCCCGTTGGGCCACAGAACTTCTTGCTATTTAATGACCAGTGGTCGGCCTCGGAGGAACTGGTTTTGTTAGAAGCAGTTGCCCGTTATGGCTTCGGCAATTGGAACGAGGTAGCCGAGTGGGTCGGAGTTGTCACACCTGAAAAGATCGCGCCGAAAGACAAAGACGTCTGCAAGAAACGCTATTATGATTTCCACCTCAATCACCGAGCCGCCAACCAACCTTTGTGGCCTATACATAATCTCAAGTCCAAGCTTTTGTACGACGGGAGCCTCGGTTTCACACAGGCACTCGTTCAACACCGAATTCGCCCAGACCAAGAAGCAACCACCGCCGCCGCGAAGGCTGCCAAAGACGCCGACCAAGGTGTAGCGGCGGCCGCGGCTACCAACGGTACTGGCAACGTTGGTGCTGGTGGTCATATCATGGGTACTGCCGCGGTAGGGGCCGGAGGTGCCGCGACTACGGCTGCAGTCAACGGTGTTGCGATCAGAACAACAGCGGCACCGGCGGGTCGTGAGATTGACTATTCGCCCATATATAATGGCCGTGGGATAGACTTGGTGTATTCGTCAAGTTGTCCCCGGCCGACGTCGGGAAAGACTGGGGGTGGCATGCCGGTGGCGTCAGGTGGCGGATTGCCGCACACGTGTGTGGGGGCGGAATTGCTTGCGGGGGACACAGTGTTGGCGGACAGGGAATTAGGTTTGATATGGGAGTATGATTTGGTGCCGGAGGCGTATCAGGGGAGGGAGGAGTATGAGATGCCTCAGAGTGCGGAATCGGTGGTAGTAGTTTACCAGGCGACGAAACCGGTGGGGATGTTGCCTCCTCGGGTGAGTATTTCCGGATTCCAGTATAACCGTGGAGACTTGGATGTGGAGTATAATAACGACTTCGAGTTAAATGTATGCGATCTGGAGGTCAAAGAGTTCGATTCGCCCATGGAGAAGGAGGCCAAGCTGCAGGCGTTGGAGGCATATAACGCTGTGTTGGATGACCGATGGCTGCGGAAGCGGTTGTACTTCGACCGGAGTGTGTACGACATCAAGAACAACAACGCAAGTCTGAATAAGTGGCTTTCAAACAAAGCGCTATACGTCTCAAACAAATCGTCCAGCTCAGAGTCCGAATTCAAGGTATTATGGGAAACCCTACGGCCGCTATGGCGTTTCCTATACTATAACTACGCCGAACACCCTGGAGCGCTCTTCAACAAGAACCAAAAATACCATGAGGCCTGCGCCGGAATCGTCCCCTCAGATATTGACGACCTGCCCGATCTCATTGCCGACGACCGACTGCTTGTCGATAGACTGGACCTACTGACACAGTGGAAAGAGGCTGGACTCTCCACCCTGAAAGATGTACTAGACCACGGTGCGCCATACGCCGCCCAGATCGATCAACGCACGCCCATACACTGGGCCATGGCCACCGCCGCCACCGGCAACCCCGGCACCACTTCCGACTGGCTCAGACAAAGCCTCTGTCTTAAAGAAAATACCTACGGACAGCTTGTACAGGTCATCTGCAACCAAATACATTCCGCTTTCGGCGACGCACCCGCCAAACCCATCACCGTCGGAGACAGCGTACCTATGGTCGACATCGTCATCGACGCCCAAGCCGAAAAATTCGCGGACGGCCCGCTCCCCGCCGCGCCCCCGGCACCCGCTATTCCCAAAAAAAGACGCGTCATGGTCGAAGAGGAAGGAGAAATAGTCTAGGTCAGGTAACTTTGCGTTTTTCCTCAAACTTTGGGACATACCAATGTGGCATGAACTTGAGGATAGTCTAGGAATTCTGCTCCACGACATACTCACCCAGTCCCAGCATTTCAGACTCACCATCGACTTGAAAAAGCTCCGACTCGCTGCCGTACGCTACAAATCCTCCTCGCATTCCCGGAGCACACGTGTGTGCACACACGAAATGCGCCGCCAAATAATGCGTCTTAACTGCATCCATGCACGACTTTCAGCCTCTTTGTGATCGCGTAGTTGACGATCAAGCTTTCGTCGATTCAGTGTCACTATCCTACCTTACCTCACCGGTATTTCAATCAAATGATGTCTTTCACGCCGTCAGCGTACGACGGAATTCCCGAGACCCGACAGAGGTAAGCCCCCGGCAGAGGTGGGTCGCCGCCCACTCAGATCTCAATGTAGCAGATAGGCTACGGTTAATTGAAGCCCGAACCCTTGCTTGCTCAGACCCCACCTGACTGCAGCCCTATCTTTCTAGACGTCTTTTGGTTTAGTTGGTAGTGACCGATGGTTATTGCTCATTCCGATTTGAGGACAGATTAACATGGATGGAATTTGTTAGTTTATTCCTACCCTCCGATCATAGTCCCTCGGATCCGGTGGGGGCCGCGCTGCCGATTTATGTCAGAGCGCAGTTGGAAGATGACAAGTGCAGCACGGTAGGCATCGGGACCTTATCCTTTGCTTCCTTCTTGAATCGACGGCTGCCTTCACTGAAGGAGATGCCTTCTTCGTACTTTGCGGCTTGTACAAGCTTGGAGAAAGGGGTCGACATTCCCGTCTTCGAAATCCTTATGAAGCTCCCGTTAATTACCAAGGAGACAAGTACAATTACTGGCATTCTTTGCGTTGGTGTAGCCATCGATGTTATGAACCTTGACATGACACAAAATATGAGGCAAGACCCGAGGCAGGACTCCGCGCTAGCCAACATCATGTCCGCTCCAATTACTAATGTAGAACCGCTGGCGGAGTATTCGACTGCGCACTATGGCGGGGCCCACGACGCAGACTTGAGCCGCTGCGTCACTAGCGACAACTATTCATTCGTAAAACACCAGTCATACGCCACCAAGAACGCTGAAAAAGACAGCCAGCGCCAGCCATTTGGCTCGTACACACGTGTGCGCCCCGACTCGAACCAAGAAACGCGGCTCCATGGCAGGGAAAAAAGGGCCAAAAGTCAGGAACGGGCCCGGCCCCGTACTCAAAACCTCCCTAGGCCGCGAAGCCGCACCCGAGATCGCAGTCAGGAACGTTTCCAGGACGGGATAAGAGACAATCATCATAACGACGACAATTGGGCTCAGGCTGAGAATAGGGCTGAGAGATCTATGGCTGAGAGATCCATGGCGGAGGGGAGAGACATGGTCAAGGAGGGGAGAGACATGGTCAAGGAGGGGATTGTGGTTGAAGAGAGAGTAAATGCTCAGGATGAACTTGCCATGTCCCGAGTAACTAGCGATCAAAGAAAAGCTCCGAACAATGAGCGTAAGGAGCCCGCGGACGAGCTTGTGGGAGGGCGGCGGCATGAGCCTTGCCAGGCGATGCGGGGGATCGCAGATAGTGAGTCGTCCGCGGCGAATGGCAAGGTGCTTGCCGGACAGGAGTCGGTCAGCAATGTCGGAGGGACGTCTCCCCAGGAGTCGGGCATCATTCAGGGTAACAAGGATCACCTGCTTCAATGTGAAGTGATGCTCCTGAAGCTGAATGCTGAGCAAGCACACCAGAAATTCAGAGAAGAAATGAAACTCATTGAAACCAAATCTGAAGAAAGACTTGAGACAATTAGGAAAGAAAACCAGTGCGCCTTCACCCCTTACCTTTCACATCTTACCTTTGCGCAGGAAGTTGCGGAATGAGAACAAACAGTTGGAAAAGAAGCTGGTGGAGTTCGAGCGGCAGCTCCAGGTGCTCCAGGAGCAGTTCGTAAGGCCGTCTTGTGGTGGGCCCTGTCCCGAGGAGTTGCGAAGAGAGAATGAGCGACTGCAGGCTTTGCTCAGAGCAGAACGCGAGAAGAACACAACCGCGTCTAACGGTGCTGAGCCGCACGCCCACAGTCTGCACCCCGTTTACCACCAACCCGAGAGAAGTAAGTGCTCGACAACCCAGCTCTGTTCCATCCCGCTGCCGTTCGGTTCCCTCCGCTCGCTCCTTTTGGTTCAGCCCCCCCTTGGCCCGACCCATGTTCTCTCTCTTGTAGGATCGCGACCCCGACTTCCGTTACGCAGACGGAGTTCGCCAGACACAGCGAGCAACACGTCCAGCCCGTTGAGCAGTCGTTCGCGGCGACTCCTGGAGTACCACCTGAAAGGGTGATTGTCTGGCTGGACAAGCAACGACCTAATTAGCTAGACCTGTATAAGTGGATTTATGAGCTTTCACTCCATAAATAGATTTGTCTGCTTTTCATTGTTAACCACCTTTCATTACCACCTTTCATTACCACCTTTCATTACCAATCCCTTCTCAGTCCTATCTATTATCCCTCCCTCCGCGCCTCCTTTCTGGTGCCATCCCAAACCTCTGTATGTTCACGCTTCACGCGTGAGTCTGGCGGTAGACTCACCGCGCGCGCGTCTGGTGGTAGGTACAACGGCTAGAGGTTGGTGTTGGACTTGGGTGGTTGAAGGAAGGAGTGCAGGTGTGTGCTGCTGATGTCTGCGGTAGACCGGAGGTTCATGCGGGAGCTGATACGTCCGGAACTGATACGGCCTCTGCTGGCGAGCGCAAGGCTGGCGGGTTCTGTGAGTGGATTAACTTCACGGTTGTGAGTTTCGGGAACGATCTGTGTGATGATTCGAGTGGGAATGAGTTTGCCGAGAGCGGCAACGACCCAGGTACCTGCTCCAAATGCGATGCATATGAACCATTGTTGCCACGTAAGTCCGTCTTTGTGAACGCTTAGGGCTTGGCTTCCGAATTCGACCATAAGAGCCTGGCCGACGACAATGATGAACATGATGCCGACCCAGTATGGGTTTCGATGGAGACCCTGAAAGATATTGAAGTCCTTGTCTTGTATTTTGCGTGCATTGAGCAAGTTAAAAGCCTGCATCATGACGAAGATGTTAAAGACGTAGGTATAATGTCTTGACGGTGTGATATCATAGTTCCAGCTTGCCTTATAGTCCTCTCGGGTGGTAAACGGGTGGTATAGGCGCCCGGAGCGGACATGGTTGTGGCCGCAGCCGGAGAATACGGTGAAGTTTGGGTCCACGGAAGTATTGTATTTGAAGTTATATTCAGGGAGCCAACATTCACCGGAAAAGATGACGCTCATCATGACCGCGACTTGGTAAAGAGCTTGGACCATGATGTTGCGCCACATCGCACGTGTGACCAAGTATTCCTGGCGCGAGTGCGGGGGCCGATCGAGCAACCTGTCAGTGGGCATCTCCGTGGCCAGCGCGAGTGCGGCGAATGTGTCCATGATTAGATTAACCCAAAGCATCTGAATAGCAGTCAATGGAGAGGCACGTAGGAAACAAGCACCTACGAAAGCCGTGATCACCGCAACGATGTTAACAGTAAGCTGAAACTGCAAGAATCGTTGAATGTTGTCATAGACGTTCCTTCCCCACTTAATCGCCTTTACGATCGATGAAAAGTTGTCATCCATCAGCACTATGTCCGCGGCCTGTTTCGCCGTCTCCTTACCCGTAATGCCCATTGCGAAACCTACATCTGCTTTTTTCAAGGCTGGAGCGTCATTTACTCCGTCTCCCGTCACCGCCACTACACGGCCCAGGTTTCGTAAACCCGTCACTAGCGCGTACTTGTCGTTCGGCTGAGAACGCGCCATCACCTCCAACTTATCCGCAATCAACGCAAACTCTTCCGCGTTCCGCAACACATCCTGTCGCGGTCCTGTCGGAGCCGCAGCAGAGACACGGAACTTGCCCCCGACTTCTGCACTCTTGTCGCCTTCCTTCTTGTCGCCTTCCTTCTTGCCGCCATCCTCGGCCCTGGCCCCACCCTCGCTCTCGGCAGCGGCTTGAGTGACGGCGACACCGCCCACCTCGCAGGGACAGTGTTCCGTTTGACATCGGGCGCAAACTACACCTCCGACAAGCTTGAGGAACTCCGGTCCGAGCATGGCTATGCCACCATCTTCAGGGTGATAGAGCCCGGCCTTGAGTGCAATTTGTTTAGCGGTTTCGATGTTGTCTCCAGTGCACATTCGCACACGGACACCGGCACGCTGACAATCGCGTATTGCTTTCGGCACTTCTTCACGAAGCGGGTCACGAATGCCCACAATGCCTAGACAGGTTAGGTCGGTTTCGAAGGGTGCCCAGCTGAGGTTCGGTGCATCTGCCACTTGTTCGGGGGTAAGTGTGGCATCCCGATAAGCGAGACAGATCGTGCGCAGTGCTAGCGAAGCCATTCGCGCTACTATTACGTCCTCGATTTTGCCCACCTTGTGCGCCGTCAACTCCTTCAGACCTCCGTCGGAATCGATCCGCCGTCCACAACGTCTCAAGACAACCTCCGCAGCACCCTTTACGAAAACGCGCACCTGAGACGGGTCACTCGGATGTTGCACAATCGTCGTCATGGCCTTCTTCTCCGAACTAAACGGTAACTGACGCACTATATAACATTGCTTCGATTCGAACCGCGGGAAACTTGGTGTCGACCCCGCCGCCGCCTGCGTTGCCGGATTCACACACAACTCCAATGATGACGAAGACCGATTCGCGAAACTGATCGTCCGTACACCCGGATCCAAACGGCCACTGGCCGCACTCGCGGCAACCACACCCTTCACCTCCGCCGGACCAGAAACGGCCGGAGCGGCGGCGGGAATCGAACCCGCGACGTCACTGGCGCTGTCGCTGCGAGCAGCGCTGCCCGCGGTAGATCCGGCTGTGCGTTGTGCAAGTTCGATTGAGTGAGAGCCTCGGGTGGCAGCCTTGGCTTTGAAGCTGACAGAGCGGTCGTCAAGGCTAAACTGGTGGCCGGGAGGAAGGGGACGGCAGAGGAGCGTGTCAGAGGCAGGTGGTGCGATGCCGCGATAAATATTGCGAAGAGCGGTGGAGTCAACGTTGCCAAGTGTTTCGATGAGCCCTAGGAGTGCGCAGTCGGTGGGGGATCCGACCTGTTTAGTGATCTGTTTAGCTTGTCCTTGTGCAACCTGCGCGGTTTCGTGGACAAGGAAACCGGACGAGTTGACGACGATGTTATGGATGAGAATTGTGCGATAAGGTTCGCTGGGCCAGGCGATGTTTTCTGAGCCCTCCATGAGGAAGGAACCGTTCCAGTAACTTTCGACTTCCATTTGGTTCTTCGTGAGAGTGCCGGTTTTGTCACTGCAGACCTCACTTGCACCGCCCATGGTCTCGCAGGCCGCTAGCCTTCGGACATAGTTCTGGTCCTTGAGCATTCGACCGACCGAGAAGGCTAGACTAATCGTTACCGCCAGTGGCAACCCCTCTGGTACCGCCACAACTACGATCGTAATAGCCGTGACCAAATGACGCACGAGCGTCGCACAAATTTTGCGCGCAGACTCGGAGTGCTCGTGCAATTGTACGCCGTACTCTACTAGCAACACAATCAACGTGACCAGTGCGGCCGTGAAACCTGCACGACCTACATCTCGCGCCATACCGTTCAACTTGTTCTGCAAAGGCGTGGGCTCATTGTCCACCACCAATTTCGTAAACAACTTTCCCATTTGCGATTGCAATCCCACTGCCACTACCAACGCCGTTCCGCTCCCACTTGCCACATTCGAACCGGACAACAAAACCGGCGATGGCACCGTGTGGTGATCCATCGCACTCCCCGCACGCGACACTCCCGCGTTCGAATCCGTCCGGGCTTCAGCCGCACTGGTATTACCGACCGCAGCGCCCGGGTGAGTGGGCCGGTAGGCCTCTAGTTTCTCCATACACTCGCCAAAGTTCATCTTCAGTACCTGGTCTGGTTCACCCGTCAGCGAACTCTCGTCTACCTTGAGGTTGTTCCCCTTCAGCAACACCGCGTCCGCTGGCAATTCATCTCCGGCCTCCAAGTAAATGAGGTCGCCCCCAACCACTTCACTCACCGGCATCTTTACCTTCTCGTGGTCTCTGTACACCTGCACATACTTCTCTTCTTTCGCATACAACTCTGCGAACTGCTTCTCCTTCATATAATCATTACCCGCCGTAACACCAATCACAATAATCACGGCCATTAAAATGGAGAAGCCCTCAATCCATTCGACCTTCTTGTTTTCGCCAAACGCCAATGCTAAAGACTACACCATACCGATTATTAAACTGCGTGTGTTTGCACACACTTACCAAACTAACTATACTAGCAACCATGAGTACCCGGAGCATTGGATCCGAGCTCGCCACCCAGATCAGTTTCCATAGGGGTGTGGTTTCCTTCTTCGGGGTTTCATTCGCACCGAACTTCTCCCGGTTTCCCTCAACCTGGTTTGTCAACAGACCCAGACTGGAGGACTGAAATTCTCCAAACAAACCTTCGACGCCTCCATGCTTCTCGATCAGGTCGAGATCTTCCACCGTGACCCGCTGTGCGTAGGCCTGCACTACGTCAACACCTAGCGAGCCTCCACTCATAATTTTTTATGCCCCTTGCCGCTGACGCTCGTCGGCGGAGACCCGGAGACCTCCGTAGCAAAGGAGGCTCCAGGCTTTCCTCTGCTTGCCCCTCTAGTACCGCCCCCTTCCCGCTGTGGCCCTCATCCGGGGTGCGCGATGTCTCGCCAGCACTGCTCGAACCGCACCCCGCGGTGGAACCGCACTGCAAGTCTCGGAACCTCGCGTGTCGCCACCTGTCGCCACCCCCTAATTAACACACGCTTTCCGGCACACACTTTCCGGCACACACTTTCCGGCACACACTTTCCGCCACACACTTTCCAGCACACACTTTCCGGCAGTTGACCTTGACGATTTACCGCCGCCTCCTCCGCCCATAGTGTTGGAGGAGGATCTGGAGCTGGAGGAGGACCCGATGGATCTGATGCACGAGGTCTTGCTTTCTGTGAAGGATTTAGGTGACGACCTGGACGACCGTCTGACGGAGGTGCTCGGCGCGGAATTCCAGAGGCTAGTGGGTCAGCTGAGGACTGTTTTTGCAGAACAGTTTCAGGGCGGCGGATTGGGCGACCAGTTGGCCGAGAAAGTGTGCGGCCGACTAGCCAATCGGAAATCGGAGGTCAATTCTGACAAGGCCAATGACGTCTTAAATGCAGACCAAAAATCGATAGACCAAAAGGCGACAAAACTCGCGGAAAAACTGTCACAAGCATTAACGGGTCCGTTGGAAGAGGCCGTGGAGGTCGCGGTCGCCGCCAGCGTGCACGACTGCGTCCGTCACCTTGCCGCTGTTCTGACGGATGCGGTGGATAACGCCGTTCGCGAACGGCACCAGGAGCTCACCGAAAGCCTGACCGGCTTGCTCACACACGAACGGCAAAATTCGGCTACCCCGACACCAGCCGGGTCAAGACAACGGGATACCCGACCAGGGGACGTACGAGCAGGCGGCCGTAATGGTAGTCGCGGCCGTAATGATAGTGGCGGCCGAGGAATCGAAGACTCATCGCCCGGCGCCGAGAGTGACGTGACCGAGCCCATAGACGGGACTCGGGGCAGTCTGGAGCAGTCCAAACGGACCGACAAGGCCGGCGACCAGCGGAGTGGCGGCAACTTCGCGGTCAGTCCCGACCGACTGGCCCGAAGTCTGCAACCAGTCGTGAGTGCGAGTGTCGAACAAGCGTTCCGCCAGCAAGAACGTAATCTCCTTTCCGGGTCAGGTCGTTCCGGACTTGGTCTTTCAGGAGTCGGTGTTTCCGGGCAGTTAGGAGGGCCCCCGGGAGGTTCAGGATACGGACTCAAATCCGGGGGGTTCGTGAGTGGAGAAGAATACGGCGCCCTTCGGCAGGAAATAGCGCGGTTGCAGCAGCAGGTGGAGATCATATGCGCTGTCGTCAAGGGGTTGGAGCACAACCTGCTCACCGGCGTGGCAAGACTGCTGGCTGCGGAAGAGCAGCCCAGGCCGAACACTTTGCTTGACAGCTTGGCCTACAGTCAGACAGCGCAGCACGGGCTCGAAACCTCTTACGCCACGCCAGCAGCACTGGACATCTCTGTATTCGACAAACGCAACACCGAAGACACCCGCACTGCGAGTAGTGTCAACTTACATAGCCGCAACTAATGTGTTGTCAAAAAGAAACACACGACAGAAAAGAATTAGTGATGCGTATTGACAGCAATACATGGAGCAAGCTGGTATTGTTGGATATCATTGACTTAAAAAGGAGCCGTATTTATTCTTCGGCGTTTTCCTGGGCGGCATTTTCCTCCTCATCATCTTCGTCATCATCTTCGGAGGACTCTTCGTGGTCGCCGTCGAGCATGGCTGAGATAATTTCTTCGGGGTTGGGATAGAGGTCTTTGCGGAAGACTTCGCCAAATTCGCCAGCTTCAGCAGCGTTTTTCTTGGAGAACCAGTTGGCGAGACAGAAGACGGGTAGGTCTTCTTCGTCTGCATTTTCCGATTTGTGTTCGGCTCGGAGTTCGGCGGCGTTGTTTACAGGGTTCCAGCTGTCGTCTTTGAAGACGAGCTGTGTAACTTCAGTTTTTTCTTCGTCGACGGTTTCCAGATCTTCCTTAATCACGACCTTCTTCCTCCACGTGGTGGGTTCGACCAGTTTGGAGGCCTCCGGCTTAAAGTGGAAGACGAGCTCATAAGAACCGTGTGCGTCAAGGTAATCGTTCAACTCAACACGCTGAAGATAATCACAAAGGAATTTGACCTCAATCGGGGCAACCAGACCCATCATCGTTACCGGATGCGAGCATATCAACCTACCCCACACGCCCTCCTCCTTCTCGATTAACGCATCGCGCCGCGCATATATCGCCTTCAGCTCCGGCCAATGCTGATGCATCAACAACGCGTGCGCTGCAGATATCTTCAAGTCCACCGCATCCACCTCCGTCGCGAACCCAGCCAAGCCGTCACGCAACTCACCCAACTTGGCCACTGCCTGCTCCATAGCGTCCTCTTCCACACGCGCCTTCTTCGACACCGATTGCTCTTCTGCACCGCGCTTCGCCATTTTTTTTTCACCCCCGCCAACCAACGATAAAATGCCAACGCATCGCACACCAACCGCCCACGTCCTCAGCACCCACCCGACACCCTCATTTGCCAACCCTCCGATGGCGAACCAAACACGTCCACGAGGCTTGTTGCGTGGACGCAAGGGACAGGTCGTAGACGCAAGGGGGGGGGTCTCGCCTTCCCCCCCATGCCGCGTCTCGCCGTCGCCGTGCTACGTCTGACCTATCCAACCAAGCACCAGCTCCGCTGTTGCGCACCGCTCAGGCCCGCTACTATCCTTCGCTCGCCTTATGTGCCTGCACTGCCGCTACCAGCCAGCCCAGGAGCTCTCAGACAGCGGCCACGTACTCTCCTCTTCCTTTCCATGTTTTGTCTCCCCAAAAAATCGCAAACAGCCCCCAGGCTTCGAGGCCTCGTTTTTTTCGGTAGCACATATGTCCAGTAAGTTAAAATCCGCCACCGTTTAGCCCAACACGCCCATCCAACAGACCTCTTCAGACCAGATGCCGTCGACAGCCCCAAGAACACAGGCCGGGATAGCACAGACCTGCCCACCACAGACTCCTGGGCTGTTGACAACGCACCGGGCACACACTCGTGCAAACGCCAACGCGAGTCGACGATTACACGGGTCAGCAGGTGGCTGGCGTCAGTTCAACACGGGTGGGTGTCAGTCCGGAAGTGGTGTCAGTCGGCAGGGGGTGGCGTCCACGGAACGGGGCTGGGTTGCACGCTTATCTCCGTAGATCCTATCACCAACACCGTGAAGGCTGTGAAGAAGGCCAAGAACGGCGTGAAGGCTAAGCACAGCCGCGTGCACTATACTACTCGTTTCACTCGCCCGGCGACCAAGAAGGCCGTTGTCACGCCGAAGAAGACTGTGCCGTTGCACCACAACGCGCGCGTTGACCCGTACAGCATCATCAAGCTGCCGCTCAACACCGAGGCCGCACTCCGAGAGATTGAGAACAACGTCCTCACCTTCCTCTGTGACTTGAAAGCAACCAAACCCCAGATCAAAGCCGCCATCGCCCATCGCTTCAACGTCAAGGTAGCCAAGGTCAATACCCTCATCCGACCCGACTGCCAGAAGAAGGCCTTCGTCAAGCTCGACGCCTCCTGCGACGCTTCCGAAGTCGCCTCCAAGCTCGGTCTCCTCTGAACTTTTTAACATCTTAACAACTGCGCACCCATATCTACCGAAAGCCTACCCATCTCACCACGACGAACTGGACGGGCCGGTTACCTAGCTGAACGGGCCGGTTACCTAGCTGGCTGGCCAGAGAGGAGTTCAAATTTAGCAAAGTCCGGCTGTCCACTTGAGAATCGACTTAGTTGAATAGAAATTGTTCGGTTTAACCAGGTGACACACGGGGCCACTTGGTCGTCAGCAGGAGTGCCTAGGTCGCTGGGATTTCGGTCTTCAGGATTCGAGTCCGTCACCACAATTCGAGCCAAGTTTAACTTATCCGTGTTGACGGGAGTTCTGTATATTCGCGCCACGTTCTCTATAAGCGCGCGCTTTATCGCTTCCACCTCCGGCTCAGTGCTAAACTCCTCCCCTCGACGTGATTTTTGCCTCGGCAGCGACTTCTGTCTCGGCAGCGGTTCTGACAACCGCGCCTCTTGTGTGGTTGACTTCTGCGAACCCTGTAGAATAATGAAAATGTCGTCTACATGTCGTGTTAGCAATAGTATTTGAGGCATGACCTCTTTCAACTTCTTGTCATGACCGGCATGGTACCACTCACAGGCCATGGCAGAGAGTGGATGCCCCTGTGGTATGCCTATACAAACTCTGTTGGTACAAGCAGGGTTAGTACTAGTGGGGTTAGTACTAGCGGGGTTGGTACCGGCAGTGTTTGTCGCGTTTCTGAACGGGGCAGAAACGTTGTCACCACATGCTCCACCATCACTGATAGTCGGCAGAAGACAGTTGCGAAAAGAAGAGGGGCAGTTCTTATGGCAAATCATGCAGGACCGGGACGCAATATCAAGAATATCCGCGCTGTGAGGACTAGCGAGCATCTGACGGTATTGAAGGAAGACCTGGCAATTTTTATCCTTGCGGCAATTTGTATGGTACCGAACTCGGTTGAGATCCCTCCGAATTTGAGGGTCATATGGCCCCCACAACTTTACAGTCCGGGGCCATCCGTATTGCGTACTTAATTCTGAGTTTAGAACCCTCATTTTGAACCTGCCGCAAGTAACTTGTGTGCGCCCATCGTGTGTGCGTCGCACCACCGTGTGTGCGTCGCACCACCGTGTGTGCGTCCGTCGTGTGTGAGTGTCACTGCGGGCAGCAGCAAGACACCACCTTTCTTGAATGAGATCTCTTTGGGATGACAGCGGTGCTCGCTTACTCGGAAATATCCGGTATAAGGGGATACTTTCGGTGGGATGCATTGAAAACGAATCCGTTAACAAAATCAAAACACGATTCCAGGTCGATGGTGATCATGAAGTAGGAATAACTCAGGGAGACTTCTGGTAACGAGGATACTAGTTCTTCCAATGATGTCTGGTGCTTTTTCCTGCTACAGACAAGAGTTGAATATTGATGATGCATTGCGGTTGCTTGGAGGCAGCGTAATAGCATGGAGTAGAAGAGTCTGGTCGATAATGATTCACGACAGTTCCGTAAGTTGAGATACTGGTGGCTACCACCCGAAACAAGGGTTGGGATAGCATGACTCATAATTTCTACCGCTCCTGGTAAATTAACTATTTGTGGGTCTCTCATTAATCCAGATGAGATTGTTACCCTAATCGTTCCTTTGTTTATCTTATGAACCATTCGAAGACGCCTTTTACCAATGGTTTCTAGCATCAAGGGGAACAACCGTGACTTAATTCTTATGCTCTTGTGTCTATTGTCCAGTATCTTCTTCCAAGTGGGATATGAAACGTAACCTACTTGCTCCCTGACCATCCGGCGTTTTTCCAAAGGCTTCTCTAAGTGCTTCCTCGAGCGATTCACCAAGGGGCGTTTCTGCAGATGTTTGTCCGGTATGGTAATCGACGCCGAGGCAACTGGGAATATGGTCAGATGGCTTGGTGATTCTGTATTTCTCTGAGGGTCGTTCAGGAGGGGGTCGTTCAGGAGGGGGTCGTTCAGGAGGGGGTCGTTCAAGAGGGGGTCGTTAAGGAGGGGGCTGTTATTATTTTCCAGGAGGGGATTCGGATACCCGTTCGCCATAGGATGTAGGATATTCTTCAAGGCCATGTCTTTACGACTACCTTGAACAATACTTCTAAGTCCTTTCAAATTGTAGTTAATAACTCGAAGAATGTAGTTGACAAAAAATCCATAATATTTGTTCTCACATATCAAAATTGCTTGCCCTGGTCGAACACCAGGAATGCTTCGTATTATAGCTTTCATTGCCGAACGGTCGGCCTTCTTGGTTAGGAGGCAATTTACAACTTGAAATAAAACACGTCTCAGATTGTCACCTTGATTTCCGTTATGACTGTTCAATTGAGACCTCCATTTGGTCCTCAAATTTCTATTATATATTTTCAGAGAACAAGGCGGAATAAACAAGTCCGTAGACAAGTATGTATCATCACAGGAATGTTTTAATGACTTGCCACCTATCGTGTTTGAAACTGCTGATAATCTACCCTTTAATAACTCATTAAATAAAATGGGTCTAGATAATGCGCCACAAACTTCCTCCAACCGTTTGCAAGCCTCAGTGTGATCTATGATAGTATAATACAAATTCTGGAACCCCTGAATCGGACCGGAACCAAACCACGTTTTATTTCTCTCATTGAATAAATATATACTAACAGATCTCGAGTGCGCTATAATAGACAGAAAACAGAGCCATGTTGACCATTCCACACCACCGTACATAACATCTCGTATATATCCATTGCTATCAACTTCCTCCAATAGAACAGACTTGCTTGAATCCGTTATATTAAGCGTCAACCAAATCAAAAACGGGCAACGTAATTTCGGATGATGAAATTTGCAAATAGGAGAACGCGTTCGTATGCAATAAAATAACTGATACGGATGTTCCTCATATGCAGAGCCAAATTCCCGTCTGCAAAACATGTCCTTCAGAATTCTTCTCATATTACAAATCAACAAGGTTCTTGAAATAAACTTAAGTCCCTCACTCTTTGAACCCTGACTCTTTGAACCCTGACTCTTTGAACCAAGGCTCTTTGAACCCTGACTCCTAGACCAAGAAGAATATCGGCTCTTGATCATACCGTGGTCCGCATTTTCTGGGTCATACGTTGCCGATGTCGAACTCATCCGGCTGGCATGTAGGTTACCAGTGCTGTCTGCCGTCAAGCGATCGATTAGTCTTTTTACAGCTTCTCTATCCTCCAGTCGACTATTTTCTCCGTGAACAATCTTCGCGATAGTGAGCTCGCCAAATCCCACCCAGACATCTGCGCTCACTTTAAAGTAAATTGCTACAGGTCGGGAATGCAAGACATCGTAAATTAACTTTTTCCATACACTCCACGGTACTCTCCCGTACTCCTTTCGTACCGGTACGTGAAGGAACAGAACTTTGGTTAGCCATTGCAATAACGCGCACGCTCTATCATCGTTGTGTTTGGCGGCGCACACACGTGCGCGAATTTTTTGAAAGATTACAGAATGGATGAAATTTTGCCTGAATGCAGCTTGGTATTCATTTGAATGAATTCCAAGAATTCGCAGGACTTCTAGGACATTAGTCCTTTTGTTATCCATCCGAATTTGTTACCCAGTCCTTCTATGATCCACTAGTCCAGTGTTACAGCCCGCACAGGATAATTATTGCCCGGTAGCGAAACACGTCCGGCAGGCAGGAAAAGTGTGGCGGAATTGTAAGCTGCAAAAATATATTCAACGAAATATGTTGAGGCTCTCGGCGTCGGAGATTCCTTTCCCTCTTGAATGCGCTACTTGTTTCTTGGCAGCGAACTTCTGTAGTCCTGCGAGTGCAGCCTCAAGTGGATCGGCAAGTTTTTTGGCCGAAGCTGATGTATTTTGGTTTGATCGTTGGTCACGGCCACTGGTTGATCGTTGGTCACGGCCACTGGTTGATCGTTGGCCACGGCCACTGGTTGATCTTTGGTCATGACCGCTGTTTGATCGTTGGTCATGACCGCTGGTTGATCGTCGTTCAGTGGGTGGTCGTCGGTCACCGGGTGGCGGCCCTGGAGCGCTGGACGGTCGTCGGTCAATGGAGGGTCGTCGATCAATGGAGGGTCGTCGATCGAAGACAAATCGTTCCATGGAGTCTGCTTCATGTTTCTTCCGCAATTCCTCGGCGCGAGTTTCGTGCTCCTCAGCCCTTAGACGATATTGCGCTTGCTTGACTTGGTGTTCTTCCAGCTTCTGAGTAATATCGGTAAGTGAGGGTCGCCCGGCTTCATCGGGTCGCCCGGCTTCATCGGGTCGTCCTGTCTCATCGGGCCGTCGCTTAAGTTTTTGGGCGCAGCGTTGGTAGTAGACGACCTTGTCCTTGTGCTCCTTTTCCTTGAGTCGGTACACGGCAGCCCTTTCGCTATGTTGGTCGGCTCGTTGGATGAGTTCGTGAGGCAGCAAGTTCCGTTCATCCTGAGCGCTAGCTGAGCTGATAAACCCTGTCTGCAGACCTATGCTAGCTGTGATACTGCGTTCGGTCCTAGCGTTATTACCATGACCACCACCGCCGATACCTTGGCCACCACTGCCTTGACCACCCCCACCTTGACCACCCCCACCTTGAGTGCCTTGGCCTCCCCCGCTCTTACCTGGATGGCAGTTGCCTGTAAGTCTATTCCGCGCCGCGGTCTGTCCCCGCAATTCGGCCTGGCTGACGTTGCCGAGCAAAAGGTCCGTGATCTCGCTCTTGGTTTGGACGGTGGCCTCTGGTTTGCTGGTGACATAGTTGAAGTCATGGTAGCTGCTGGCGCTGGGGTCGAAGAACTGGTTGAAGGCATCCCGGACGAGGCCGGCTGGCAGGTAGCCGGAGACGAACTGCGAGATGCCGGCGCCCTCGCCTCTTGCCGGGCCGGCGGCAGTTAACTCGTCCAGTAGTCGTTCGCCCAGGGCCCGTGCCCGACCTCGTCGAGTGCCCCCATTCCTCATTCCGCCGCCTCGCCCCCCTCCAGATCCCCCTCCGGGTCCTGAAGGGCTCGGGCGGGGACGCCCCGGGGCACGAGCCACGGACCTTCGAGATCGGATTTGGGCAAGTTCGGCCTCCACCTCTCGCCGCCGCTGCACGGCCCGGGGCCGATGGTCCGGGCACTGCCATCCGACGGTGGGCATCTCCTCAAGACTCTGACAGTACCAATGCGCAGCCACCTCGCAGGACGTGCACTCCATCAAACTGTCCTTGTCACCCACGGCGTGACATAGATGACACACTCGCTGATTCGGATCAAACTCTTCTTCCCGAACTGTCAACGACTGCAACTTCTTCCTCACCGCCTTCACCTCCAGCCTCCGGCCCTCACCACTATACACTGCCAACATCCCAAAACGCTGTTTGCACTGACAACATGCGTTCTCCGTTTGCACCCACCGATCGATACACGCATAGTGGTACATGTGATAACACGACGACACCAAACCCACTCGCCCGTCTGTCGCCTTCCCGCTTTCTGTCTTCCCGCTCTCCGTCTTCCCCGCCCCCGTCTTCCCAGCTTCAGCCTCGGCTTTTAGCAGCAAATGCCGAAGCGCCTCCGGCACCTCCTCCTCCTTGTCTTCAGGGAACAACTCATCTAAACAGGCGCAACAAATGGGCACCTGATCCGCAGCTACTTGCCAGTCCGCCATGCCCTCAATGTCCAACTCCTCAGGGAACGCGGCGTTGACTTTTTCCACACCTAAGTGGTTGCAAGCCATGTTCGGAAACCGGACCGGCGGTACAAAACACTGCTCCGGCTCACGCACCGGCTCAGGCACCGGCTCCAGCTCAGGCACCGGCTCAGGCACCGGATCAGGCTGCGGGGCCAACTGGTTAGGATCCGGCGTTTGCGTAGAGTGATCAGGCTCCGGCACCGAGTGTCCAGGTGATTGATCAGGCTCCGGCACCGAGTGTCCAGGTGATTGATCAGGCTCCGGCACCGAGTGTCCAGACGATTGATCAGGCTCCGGCGCCAGTTGGTCAAGGCCTTGCGTTAACTCTTCCGGTTCAGATGGATGGGTTCTTGCTGGTGTATCCTTGTCCACCGCCGCAACGGGAGCAGTGCCCGTCGCCATAGGAGCAGTGGTGGTGGCCATAGGAGCAGTGGTAGTCGGCATGGGAGCCGGGGTAGTCGTTACGGTACCAATTGTCTGTTGTTTGTGCGGTAGGCCGGATTCGAACCGGGGTCGTTTGCTCTCACGGTCGTGGTTCGTGGGTGCAAGGTCGGTCGAAGTGGCAGAGGATGAGGACTTGGGCGGAGATCGCGCCCAGAGGTCTGCCAGGGTGGGAGTGGCCACACGGCTACTCGAGACGTCCTCTGCGCGCTTCCGCTTCGGGGGTCTGTTCGTGGCTGGTCGCGAGTGCGCGCGGGTGGAATCGAACCGGTGCAACTCCAGAACAGCCGGCGCCGCAGTGTCCACGGCCTGCACCGGGGTATCCTGAAGAAGAGCATCGAACAAGTCATTCTCCTCTATATCCTCCTCTCCATGGTCTCCATCGTCCACGAACAGCGAAGCATCCACCTCCGAGAGGTTCGAGAACATCCCATTTTTTTTACCAATAATCACTCAACCCCAACCTGACCCAAACTGACCCAACCCAAACGTGCACACCAAAGCCTGCGTCACAGAAGGGAACACGTGATGTTGCTTGATGTCCATTACAGCTTCACCACAACCCAGCTTCATGGCTTTATACAACCTGCGCACGTCTGCACGTACGTCAGGGTGCAAAACATGAGATTCGCTGCCGTCTTCGCAACTGCCTTCGCGGCTCCTGTGAGCATTGCCAACATCGCCTCAGCCATGGCTGATGGTCCTTATGACCAGGTGAACGTACCGACCATTGTTCATGTGCCCACGGCCCGGTACGCGCCTCAGAACGTCAACCTGTATGTGCCGCCCCAAGAACTGGCACAGGATGTCGGCAAAAAGGGAGTGCAGGTGCCTCGGATGCCTACCAAGAAGGCCATCCCAGCACCTCAGCTTCCCACCAAGAAGGCCATCCCGGCACCCCAGCCTCCTACCAAGAAGGCCATCCCAGCACCTCAGCCTCCTACCAAGAAGGCCATCCCAGCACCTCAGCCTCCCACCAAGAAGGCCATCCCGGCACCCCAGCCTCCCACCAAGAAGGCCATCCCGGCACCCCAGCCGCCTGCCAAGAAGCAGCCAGTGGTTCTGCAGCCTGCGGTTCAGAAGAAGCACCGGAGGCCGACTAAGACTCAGAACATCAGGCACCGAAAGCGTGTCACCGTTTCCATCAGCAAGTCTGACTAATTTCTTTTCCTTTTCAACCTTTTTTTCAACCTTGTCTTCAACTCTTGTGTCAACCTCCGTGTCAACCCTAGTATCAAACCCCATCCTTGCCGCCCCTCCCTCCCCCCTTGCCTCGCCGTTCGTCATGTGAACCACTCGTTTATTATCTTTTGTTTGTCGTCATGTAGTCGAGAATAACATTCGTTCGCCGCAGCCACTTGAGATGCCGCGCCCTTGAGGTCCGTTTCCGGAGCAGGTTCAGTTGTTCAGGGCGGCGGCGCGAGGTACACGTCGCCTTGCGTAGGTGCGCCGGAGAGCCAGGAGGAAGGCCCGACGCCGCCGAGTCGGAGCGGCGGCATGGACTGTCTGCGGCTGCTAGCGCCGCTTTGTTCGAAGCTAGGAGGTGGCAGCGGCGTCGTGAAGCGCCGGCTACGGACGGGCGCGAGTTCGACCCACTCGCCGCTGGACGACGTAGAGCTCTTCTCCAGCGACGAGTTCGGCGAAGACGCCGGCGACCCCGCCGCCCCGGCTGGTCCCGACTCAGTCGCCCCCGACGTGTCTGTGGCCTGTGTTTGTGTGGCGGGGGTTTGTGTCCGCCCAACCGCGTCCCGGGGTGGAAGGGGCGCGCGGGCGAAGGACACGGCGCTCGGCGTGGGGAAGAGTTGCGCGCGGGTCGGCGCTTTCGACGGCGGACTCCGGGAGGCACTTCGCACACGCGCAAACACCGGTCCAAAGGCCGGAGCGGGAGCGGGCGTAAAAGCGGCCTCTTGCTTGAACGCATTCGGCTGCTGCAACGGCGAAGTGAGCGAGGGCTGGAACTCGTCGTAGTCTTGCGGTTCCATGTAAGATCGGGGTTCCATGTAAGATCGCGGATCCGGGATGGACCGTGGGTCATTCACCGACCGTGGGTCATTCACCGACCGCGGGTCATTCACCGACTGCGGGTCATTAATCGACCGCGGGTCGTTAATCGACTGCAAGTCGTTAATCGACGGCAAGTCATTAATCGACCGCGGATCACCTAGGGGCTTGAGACCGGTTCCCGGTTTGACGTCGACTCCCGGCCCGAGGTCAGTTCCTGGCTCTGCGGGCGTGCCTGCTGTGGACAGGACGTCCCGTCGGTATTCGGGCCACGGTTTGGTAATTTGGTGCAACTGGTCCCGAGTGTAGCCCAGCACCGCCACCGGGGACGTCCCGGCACCCAAGGGGATGGAGGCGCTGCGGACTACCTGTCTCAAGGGGCGTCCCGGTAACCTTTCGTAGCCGACGGGTAGCGGAACGGCCTGCGGCCAAACGGACTCATAACCAACCGGGGTTTGGTAGAGAGGACTCTGTTGAAGAGGACTCTGGGGAAACGGAGCCTGTTGCGAAAGAACCTGTGCCACGGAATGTGGGGGAACGTGTGCCACGGAATGTGGAGGAACGTGTGCCACGGAATGTGGAGGAACGTGCGCCACGGAATGTGGAGGAACGTGTGGCATTGACTGTGGAGGAATGTGCGCCACGGAATGTGGAGGAACGCGTGATACGGACTGTGGAATGCCTCGGTCAGGGAAGGGGGAGTAGTTGGGGGTCGGAACCTGGTAGTTGGGGGTCGGAACCTGGTAGTTGGGGGTCGGAACCTGGTAGTTGGGGGTCGGAACTTGGTAGTTGGGGGTCGGAACTTGGTAGTTGGGGGTCGGAACGTGGTAGTCTAGCGGAGCGTTGTGAGTGGGATCGTCTCCCGATCTGTTTTTGACGTTGGTGCCGTCTTGAGTTTCCGAGTCCCCATCCAGGGCGCAGTGCATTTCCCAGCATACGTTCATTAGTTCTTGCCAGGCGGGAGACCTGATGTGAGGCGAGCGAGCGAACTCTTCCCAAGTGGGCAGCGGGTCGTCCAGCGGTGCGACGGGAATTCGGGCTTGTGTGCATAAGACCTCGATCTCGTCTCGCAATTGCACGGCCGCTGCCAGCCGTTCCGATCCCCGCCGTAGTAGAGCATTCATTTCTGCACCCTGGCGCACCACTGCTGGGTCAGCCACTGGAGGAATAAATTGCTGGGTCCATTACATCATATCTATCTAACTAACTAACCAACATCAGTCACTAATAATTACAAGCGTGGCTGAGCTATAAAAGACCGTCAGGCGAAGGGGCTGTTTTGGGACACAGCAGGGACCCAGGTCTTCCGCCATAGCCCTTCCGACGCCGTAGCGCCACGTCCAGCCGCATTGCAGCAGCAAGCCCGGAAGCATAGATATTGCTGTGATAACTGGAGGCAATAACAGATCGGGGGGGGATAGAGACGGGTAAAGACAATTGGCGCCTAGACAATTGGTGCCTAGTCGTCTTCCATTCTAGTCGTCTTTCATTCTAGTCGTCTTTCATTCTAGTCGTCTTCCTTTGGATTAGGTCCTTCTAGTCAGGGAACCTCTTCCATGGGCATTTCGACATCGATGGTAAAGTCGTAGTTGATGGTGGGCACGACAGAAGAGACCATTTTGAGTAGTATGAACAGAGCCAGATCGGGTCTCGGTTTCATGCCGGCTTTGACCCAGTTTTGGGCGACAGTACGCATGACGGAGGCATGTTTGCACGGGTGGATGGAGACGGTAGGGACGCCAGTAAAAGGGTGTGGGTCGACAGTGACGGTGCGTGCAAGATAATCGTTGTGAATGTCTTCGAATACATGTTCCGCTATCAGTGGGACGCCCGCCTCATCGTACCCAAACAACCACAGCCGCGGCGACTGGTAATACTTGTCGTATGTGATCGAGAGGTCGTAGGTTCGAGACGAGACGGTCTGCTGCCCGTTGAGGACACTTGGCCCGCAGTCCACGTACTCGTCTTCATCCACAAAATTCTTCACCACCACCTGACCCGCAGCCGACTGACCGGCAACCATGGCGTCTTGCTCGCCTGAACCCTCCTGTCGGACCGAACCCGCCGGTGATGACGCCTCGTCAGTCAGCGGTCCAGTCGCAGGTTCCTCATTATCTCCCGGCAACGGACCCGGTATCAACCAACCTTCGCGAGTCTCATGGGCCTACAATGCAACAAGTATACTATGACTCCGCCGTGGTGTTGTTTGATGCAGTGCGTACTCCTTTGATTAGATTTTTTTCCCAGTGGTGTATGCGATATCGGCAAGGGATATTGCGCGTAATCAGGTACTGCTTGTCAGGCGGTAGCCAGAATACCTGGTGCGCTTGATCACATGACTGCCACTGCCATGTGGGGGTTTGGCATGTGAGCTGATCTCCAGCTTCGACAAACTCTCCAGGAGACAAGAATCCTTTTGTTACAAATTGGGACGAGGCAGAATCTTTCTGAAGCCACCCCACCACAGACCGCACTTGATCAGCTATTCTATGTGCTCGGTTCATATGTACACATTAATTTTTTTTAAATACTCCGTCTACTAATCGAGTTCGATCCCACGCAACCGCGGCGTTTGTTCTCCCGACCAACCCCCCCACGGGCACTCGCGCACGACACGACAAGCCTCCCAAATTTCGCAAACACGTGTGTGCGCTCCCAATTATGCGCAGAAAAATACTTTATACGAGCTTCAGAACGTCCTTGATAATTATATTCCACACAACTTCAATGATAACCTCAGCAACGATGAGATAGATAACTATCCATTCCAATTTGTATCCATGCTGCAAAGATAGTTCTTCATTAAGCATATCATAAAGATCTTTCATGATATCTAATCGTTGATTGAGAAGTTCAACCCGTTTGGGTATTTCCAGATACGATCGACAGCTTGAATAGTAGTCAGCGAACTGGTCAAACTCCCAGAATACATCGGGTGTGTCCAAAATATCACATTGAAGATTGATATAGAATCTATTGATGAATAATTCGCCGATCATACGGCTAATAGCTTCTCTGCTTGTATTGATTTTACCAGTTCGCGCTAAGGTTTCGGGAATTGTGCGGGTGTTTTCAATGGATTCGTAGACGTTATTCTCGAAGATAGTTAGTTTGCAAGATTGTGCGAAGGCATAGCTGTAAGCCAGGCGTTCGAATGTAGCCTGGCTTGTTAAGTGAATAATATCTTGCTTTATAGTCTGGTTGTAGCTCGAAACATAGCTCATTGAGTCGCTTTCCTGTTTTTCCTGGGGCAGTGGATTCTGTAGATACGGTTCTAATAAGCCAAGTAAGTCACTACGACTGCTTAGAGACTTAGGATAGTCCCAGGTGACTATACAACCGAATTTGAATAGGAATACCAAACTCCTTTTCCTAGAAACTGGCTCCATATCTTCGCCAGCGCTTTGCTCCAGAGCATATTTACGACTGGAATCATGGTCTATATAACCGATAAAGACGTCGCTGAAGAACTGGTCGAAGTAAATCTCCATCTTGCTGCTAGCCAGCATTTTCCTCCGCGCAGTCTGCTGCAAGTGACTCAACATGATTTCACCTGCGGCACATATTGCCCAAACCTCACCTTCTGGCTCGATCCTGTCTTCCGGCTTAGTACGAGCATTAGCCAAGATGTCTGCGCGCTTCTTAGCTACTCGCTGGTCCTTCTTTCCCGAATTCTTGTAGTACTAAACAAAACAAATTTGAACCAGAACAGGGAAGGGGAAGATGAAGGAGTATTTGGAATGATACATATCCGGGGAGGGGGGAGGGGAGTGTCCCCCCCC